GACAAGGTAGGAGAAAAGTAATACCTAATATGTGCATTTTTGAGATTAAAGTTAGGGAGCTGAGCTACCCAATTGATAGTGTCCTATAAGCTTCTTGAAGGGGAAATGTAATCATGAATGTGCTTCAACAAAGACTAGTGGTTCTTTTCAGGAGTCTGAAATAGGTCAGAAATATATAATAAAAAAGGCAAACATTGGAGCGTTCAGAAAACTTGGATTGTTCTCTTCCCTACTGCTGCGTTGGTGTAGTCTTGGTGAAGTCGGACGGGGGCAGCTATAAAATGTGGAAAAATAATTAAAATATAGGTAGTTACCAGGCGTCTTCAGAATTCTCACAGAGTCTCTCTCTTCATGTTGTCTTGGCAAATGTTGTAGTTTATATTGTTTTCATTATACAGAAGGAATATACAGTGACATGTTTTGCAATAAATAGTGTATTGGAAAACACACTGTAAGAAAAGAATTTCTAGTAAGAGAACATAGCAGGTCACTTGCCTTTGCTGCTTCTAACCTGTTATTTAATACTTACGGGCATGCAACTGTAAATGAAAAAATATATATTTTGGTGCAGAAAATTTCCTTGCACACTCCTTTTGCTATACAAACAAGTGATAACTCGTGTGTGGTAGGGATTTCTACAGACTTCATCTACCTAATTTCTTTTTTATGTGCATTTTGTTTTTTTCTGGTTAATTTTTTTCTGGGAAATGTTAAATAACAAATCAAGATTTCTATCAAATATAAATATATCAAATATTGCATGTTTTCTGTGACAATTTTTCAGTATGCTTCTTTTGCTGTTCTTCTTTTTCTGTAAACTTATGAACCAATACAATAGTTGAGTGAAAAAATAGTCTGTGGCTTGCGCGAGATCATGTTGATACTGTCTCAGATAACTTGAGTGTGGCTGTTGGGAAGAAGTTACTTTTCACAAAATAGTAATTTTGAACTGCAGTATGTTTGAATCTTCATAAAGTGTCATGACAGACTGAAGACTTCTTGATTCAGAAGAGGAACCAATAGATGCTAACAGTTTTTTTTGTTTTGTTTTCTTTGATTTTTCTGTGCTGTCCATGTTTTGTCAGGTAAATCTATACTCCTATCTTTTTAGATTTTTTTTTTCAGAAATCACACATTGTTGTGTCCAAATAGAAACTGAGTGGAACCAAACCATGTCCGTTTCTTACATGTCAAATGCATCATGTAATGGAATTTATGATGTCTTTTTCTTAAAAGCAGGTAGACTTTCTGCATCTTTTAGTTTTGGCAATATAGTGTTAGTTTTGTTCTATATTCAGAACCAAACTTGGATTCTGGAATAGCAGTATACATTTTTTTCTTTTTTTAGTTTATGTTCATTTGTTGGACTTAAACTGAAGAGTAATGTTGGCATACTTCTCCCTCTTTGATGTTTATCCTTTTAATGAATTGTTATATTTATCTTCATTCCAGTTTTATTTTGCTAAGCTGAGTAAGCAAGACTAATTTTTCTTTTAAACAACAGGCTCTTTGGTACTATCAGTAGCTCCTTTCTCTAGTTCTTGTTTTTAAAACTTCCTTTTCTTGAAAACAGGAATTCAGAATTGCATGTGGTATTCCAAAACAGTTGTTGCTCCTGTGCAACAATGTTCATATTTCTGTCATTTGTTGCAAGTAAATCCTTGCTGTGTATTTGCCTCTTTCTCCGCCCTTGCCCCGCTCCCTCCTTTATTTTTTTGGCCGCTACAGAAGAGCTGCATCAGTTTATAGTTGACCACAGAATGACTGTACTCCCAAATGACAAGCCCTGACTACATGAAAGAAGCTTGTATTGGTCCCTACATGCAGGAACCTTTCGTTTCATAGAATTTCATTTCATGTGGCTTCCACTAAGCCATTTTTCAAGACCAGTCACTTGTGTGTGTGTGGTACTCTGTTCCCCTTTTGTTGCAGTGTTTTCCACTTCTGTCTCATCTAAATCTACCTATTCTTGTCTGGCAACATTGTTTAAAAAAAAAAGTTGAATATAATTTATGGAGGAGCTAGTAGTTCTTTTCTAGTCCAGTTGTTCTATCACACTGTATTCTTGTAGAAAGTTTCTTTCTCATTTTAAGATTACTCTCTTCTCACGTTTATTTAACCTCAGATGATTTACTGAGTCCAGATTGCATCTTGTTTGAGTTTCCTTTTTTCAAGGAAATGACTGGTTCATTTTTTAGGTATTAGATTGGTCCAGCATGTCCTAAATCTGCTAATTTTTATTGCATTTTTACCCTGTTTTCCTTTTTAATACAATTAAATTCAGACCACTGAGCCAGATGATTTTGTTTTTCTTCTTTAAGTGTTAACTACTGTATTTTTTTCTCTCTCTCATCATATGATAGCACATTTCATTTGATTTTATTAAAATGCTCATTGCAATTTTTTGGGACATCTCTAATGTTTTGGCGTCCACATTGTTTCAGTTTCCCAGCTTCAATGTTTTAGTTTTCTCAAGTTACAATTTTACCTTGGGAGGTGTTAATATATTTGCATTGCCACTAGCTAGCCTGTCTTCATTCCTGTATTTAGTGGCATTATTGGTATTGGAAACCAAGCCACAGTATATCATCACCAGTACTTCCACAGAACGGTGTTGCTTCTGTGGGGTTTTTTTAATTATTATTGTTTATATCATAAGCGCTTTCTCTACCCTTTTGGAATGTAGGGAGGGGTTTTGTGGCTAAAGAACGAGGTAGCACAAGTGATCCTCTTCTGTGAAGTAGAAGTTATAATGTAGGGTATCCCTTCAGTTCCTGAGCACCAGATACTCTCCAGTATGATGCTTGATTTCCATTTACAAAAACTGTTGAAATAGGGTGAAAGATCCCATCAGTTTTGGGCTGCAACTGTTCCAGCACCCAAGTGTAATTTCCTTGGATGAGTTCCTGGAATTATTGAAAATGGCGAAGGGATTTAACACTCGATATTAAGATATTTCCATGATGATATACACAAGTTAACTCTCAAAGGGCATTCTTGAATATGCCTGACATTCAGGAACTTTTCACCTGCAAGAGTACAGGTGAGGATGTTCCTTATACCAGTGGGGAAGGAAAATATTTTACAAGATATTTCTATAAAGTCAGAATAACTTTCAAAGACAGCAACAATGTTAAGTGGAGGATGCTTTTTCCTCGGTTCTCCAGAGACAGCTGAAAACTGTTGGTTGTGCATGTGTAGTTTGATGAGGTGTACATAACAAAGCGCCTTCTTGTGAAAGCTTGAGAAAGCATTCAATTTCACGTTTGTAGTTAAGAAAAAAGGGAGATGGAACAAATCAGCACCAAAGTGCTGTCGAGAAGTGAAGCTTCTCGACGATAGCAACGAGCTGCAGCTTCTGAAGAGATGCAGAGATCTCTGTAAAACTTCCTCCAAATCTTGCAGCTCCATCCTCAACTTGCTTACACTTTTTGCTAAGCTTTTACCAGAAACATAGGAGGGAGGGGATGGGGGGAGTGGTCTCTATTCTGTTTCTTCATACCTCCTGCTCTGGGATCCTTCTCTAGTGAGTAATTGCAGTTCGTGCCTCTGCTGTTGCTCTTTGCTTTTTCGAGCAACAACATGGATTGTCAGAATTCTTAACAGTCTCTTTGCTGCCTCGACTCTGGATATCAGCTGGGAAATCACCCAGAAGTACTGGTGCTGTTTTCCTGAACCTGTGGGCACACAACAGTAGTTCATTGATTTGTACTTGGTTAACGTTTGGAGAGTAACTGTTGACGTGAAAGGAATTTTAGGACATCAGGTGGGTGGGGGAAATTTCCAGAGTTTTCTTTTCCACAGCAGAGATGCAGTTCAGCATAAAGAAATATATGTTGTATCTGAACAGATCGGATTTGTTTTGCAAATAAGTTCTGCTATTTCTCTAACTCTTTGGGTTCATTTATGTGGTGAAATACTTATGCAGCAATCTGCATGCCAATTTATAAGCTATGGAAGCTCCTAGTTAACTTACCATGTGAATACGTACATTAAATGTCTGAAGTAGATTATCTAAGTGACATTGGTGGCTCTGTCAGGAACTGTCAGTCTTCTGGGAAGGGCAGGTTGGAGGCCGGTGCACACTGATTAGACTGATCCCTGAGCCTTCTCTTCTGCAGCCTAAACAACCCCAGTTCTCTCTGCCTCTCCTGGTATGATAGGTGCTCTGATCCCTCGGCCATCTTTGTGGCATTTTGCAGGACTCAGTTCAGTCTGGCATATACTGGGGAGCCCAGAGCTGGACCCAGCTCCAGACACGTCCCACTAGAGCTGAGTTGGAGGGGCAGGATCACCTGCCTCAGCCTGCTGGCAGCACTCCTCCTAATACAGCCAGGGTGCTGTTGGCTGCCTTTGCTGCAGGGACATGTTGCTGGCTCACGTTCAACTTGGTGTCCACCAGCACCCTCAGGTCTCTTTCTGCAAAGCTGCTTTCCAGCTGATCAGCCCCCAGCTGGTACTGGTGCCTGGGGTAATTCTTCCCAAAGTGCAGGAGTTTGCATTTTCCTTTGAGCTTCACAGTTTTCTGTTGGCCCCTTTCTCCAGCTTGTTGAGGTCCCTCTGAATGGCAGGACAACAACCACTCCTCTAGTAGACAAGCCGTTCAGTCTCCTACGTGCCTTTTGCAGCGTGGCAAAACTTGCTTTCTTTGCCTCCCCAGTACCATGGCGTGGATGGCGTCTGTGGTGAGAAAAGTCGTAAGGCTCTTGAAATAACTCTGGCTTTACAGTCAAGGGTCTTTAACAAGCTTAGGGGAACAACTTCTTTACAGCGTAAGCTAAAATTTAGGGGTTCTTGAATATGGTAGGAATCTCTAGACAGCAAAGATAAGTTTCAAAACTTAGTGTTTTCAAAATGTAATGCTCATCGACATTGCATGCTGTGTATCATCATATTCTTTTCTGCAGAGTGTTTATGATAATACAAAGGCTAATAACTAAAGCCGACTCAAGGGATTGTACTACTGACTGAAAATGTTGCCGCTTGTGTTTTTTCAGACGCTCCTATTGCAAAAGCTGCTGTTGAAAAGAAACCATTTTTTTAATAAGAAGAGAATGGGTAAGTTCATCATCTTGGAGGTTTGTTTTCTTGTTTCCTATAACGTGAAGCATTTTCTCTCTTATGTTGGCGGAGGAGGTGGATTGTTAAGACTTTAAATCTTGATCTTGTCACTGTTTTTATCGGCTCAAAAGTTAATGGAACTTCCTACAAATGCTTTTTAGGAGGATTTTCTCAAGTGACTGTTCATTTTTTGAAAGACTTGTTCAGAGCGCATCTATCTAACAATAAATTTCTCTTGCTTAATATGCATAGCACATAAAATGTACTTGATAAAATAGGATGCCTTCAGGCTTTTATAGCACTAAACTTTTAGCTAATGGACAAGAAAATTTCCCTATGTTCTGTTTTATGGTTTTTTGTTCGTTACCTAAAGTCAGCTGGTTGAATGCTGAGATCTTAACAAGGACTGACTTTTTCTGATAAATTACTGTGTGTTTGTGTGTGTGACCTGACTAAATGTCTGAAATTATTGTGTCTGCCTCTCTGCAAATGACTGGTCATGAAACACGATTGAACAGCTTCTGGTTTTATCTATACCTTTTCTGAATGTATTTTAGCATCTTTGGCACTGGCAGTACTTTACTAAAAATGGCAATAACTACATGGTAATTAAATTTTAACTTCAAATTCACAAAACAACTTAATTGATTGGGGCAATGTTGTATTTGCGATAATGCTAGATATGATGTAAAGTACTTATTAGAATATAATTAATGTAATTTCTATTCTTTTTTCTGTCAGAAGGAGAAACAACACCAACAATCCAATGTCAAATTTGTAGGCTATATGTGTTTTATCTTCTGTACTGCTGCATACCATCATGAAATACTGGCAGTGTATTACTTCTCTAGAAGCGTACAGATCTCTTCTGTTATACTTTTCCAAGCTGGAAGAACTTCCAGGACTTTCATTTTGTACTTTCTGTCAAGATTGTTCTGAAAATCAAATTTTATGTGCAGTATCAACTTCAAGTATTTTTAAATGGAATTCTAGTAATACTTGCTATATTAGTCTCTTAGAAAATACAGTATATGAAGGAATGCATTAACTTTCCAGATTGATAGGAATTGTATATTCAGTAGGGCGGGGGTTTTTGTACACTCATTTTTTCAAAAATATTTTAATATTAACCGCGGTCTTTATTACTTAAAAGTTTACAGGAACTTACAAAGACCAACTACAGAGACAGTCTCCTTAGTGCTATGGTGCCCTGTTGTGGTAAGCACTGTAGAGGCACAAAGTAGTCAGTGGTTCCTGCCCCAGAGAGCATCCTGCTTAAATAGAGAAGATGGTTGCAAGATGGGGAAAACGTTAAGACAGTGCAGAGGGAGCAGTGCAGTGATAGCAACAGTAATGTTGTTTTTTCGATAGCGATGTTAGGAGAGAATAAATGACTGAACAAAAAGGAAAGGGGGATAAGGGCTTATAGAGAAACAAAGTAGGGAGTGGATATATAGTGAGACAAGGGGGAAGGGAAGCAGAGAAAGTACAGTGAAAACTACTGTGTGAAGAATCTCCAAATTTCCTTGGTTTTAGTGCTTTTGCACTTACCCTGTTTTCCACCAAAAGTCACAACATGGGTGTGCACTAATGCTGTATGGTTCTGGGTCTGGCTGGGCAGTGTGGGAGGATGAATTCTATTTCATGTCATTCCTTCAGTACATGAATGCTGATTGCTTTTGTTCTTACCTGTGCTTCAAAAAGCTCTTTTTTTCTTGCAGTCTGTATTTTTAAATGTTAGATATGTATTTAGGTAACTTAACTACTAGTATGATAAACGTGGAGGGAAGCAGTTCAATTCACTTGAGAATGTCTGAAGGAAAATTTCATCCCTATGTACATTTTAGAAATCGTGTCAGAATTTACTGATGGAGAAATGAGAGAGGAGAGATGTTAATAAAAAAAATCTTACTTTTTCAAAAAATCTTACTTTAAAACAGATTGCTGAGTGCTTCAGAGAAGTTGTCTTCAAATACATAAAATGCTTCTGTCATTTCTTGTTGTATTGGGTTCTTCTATCTACAAACATAGTTATAGAAAAGACTGCAGTTTGCATTCTTAGTGATGTGAATCAGTTGTCGTGTTCTGAAACTGTTAATCTGTTTTCCATTGTAGATGGAGAAGAGAAAACATACGGTGGGTGTGAGGGCCCAGATGCTATGTATGTGAAGTTAATATCCTCCGATGGCCATGAGTTCATTGTAAAAAGAGAGCATGCATTAACATCAGGAACAATAAAAGCTATGTTGAGTGGGCCAGGTAGGTACAAAAGATTTAGTACCTTCACGTCCTTTGTTATCGTTTTTGGACAATTTGAATTTATATCATGCAGTGAGTGAAAGTTGGAGTAAATTATAACTTTTCCAGATCCTGACTAGTTCCTCTTTCCACTGGAACAGTCCACCTCTGTGGGGTGTTGTACTACCAGACATATAATTGGACTGACTCTGGTTTTGGACAGTTAGCAATCTTACAGTGTCATTACTACTGGTTTCCAATGGTATGAGAACTTGAGGGTATTAAATGAAACATATAGCAGTCAAGTTCAAAACAGACGAGAGTTAGTAGTTCCTCATTGCCACCTCCGTGGTGGAACTTTTAGTATTCTGTACTGATTCTGGCTGAGATGGAGTTAACTTTCTTCACAGTAGGTCACATGGTTCTGTGTTTTAGATATGTGACCAAAACAATGTTGATTAATTAAACCAGTGTGGTTTAGATATTGCAGAACAGTGTTTGCACAGTGTCAAGGCCGTCTCTGTTTCTCACTCTTCTCCCCACCCAGTGAATAGACAGGGTGGGGTGCAAGAGGTTGTGAGGGAACACAACCATGCATATGACCTAAACTAGCCAAAGAGATATTCCATGCATTATAAGAGAGAAGGAGTTAGGGAAGTTAGACATCTTTTGCTTGGGAACTGGCTAGGCATCAGTCTACCCATGGGAGGGTAGATCAGCTTACAGAGGGGAAGGACCTCATGTGTTACTGAATATATGAGTCTGCCTCTGGTTTAAAAAGTGTCTGTACTAATTCTTGAAGACAGAAAGGTTGGAGGAGACAACAGGAAGAAGTTAACACATGTGCTTTCCTTCTTCTGTACCTTCATCCCGTACGTTTACCGTTGGCCACTTGAGTGGTGGGCAGTGGGCTACGTGGGGCTCTGGTCTGAACGTGGTCATTCTGTCGCAGTTTTGACCTGGCCGGCAAGCAAACACCACACAGCCTCTCACCCGCCTTCCCCTACCCCTGGGGAATGGGGCAGAGAATTGGAGGGGTAAAGGCAGGGAGACTCGTAGGTCGAGATAAGAAAAATTTAATAATTGAAATAAAATACAATTTTAAAAAATAATGATGATGATGATAATAATAGAATATGCAAACGAGCGATGCACAGTGCACTTGCTCACCACCTGCTGACCAATGCCCAGCCTGTCCCTGGCTAGCAATCCTGGAGGAGAGAAATCCCAAAATCACAATCCTGGAAAAGAGAGAGAGAGAACTTCCCAGCCAACCTTCATATATATATTGAGCAGGACGTCCTATGGTATGGAATATCCCATTAGCCAATTCCAATCAGTTGCTCTGCCTATGTTCCCTCCCAGCTTCTTGCACACCTGCACACTAGCAAAGCATGGGAAGTTGAAAAGTCCTTGATTTCTTAGCAACAGCTAAAACCATCAGTGTATTGCCAATATTCTACCAAATCACGTACTAACTCTAAACCAGCACTATTCTAGCTACTAAGAAGAAAACAAACTCTATCCCAGCCGAAACCAGGACGCATTCTTATATTCTTTTTTAAATTCTGGCGAGGGGGATTACTGGAGAGATCTATTTGCTTAATATATTTTTTGATTACTTAGGAACAGTTGGGCAGACTGAGCAATTAAAATTCTCAGCTTAATGTTCTGCTAAATGTCATTGTAATGGTTGCATTTGAAGATTTATAGCAGATCTGTTGTGTCTGATCCACCCATATCAGCCTCCCAGACATGTAAGAGGAAGAGTAGTTACAAGACCTGCTCTGAATTCATTCCACAAACAATGTGAAGAAATAAAAGGTGAAGGAGCTGCTTAGAGGGATAGAAAACTGACTCTGTAGAGGAGTCTGTATTCAAGCACATTTTGTATAAAAACTAGCAAGATAAATGAGTTCACAAGGAAAAGTACCCGTGCTGTCTACTTCAGTAGGTCATAATTTCACTGATGTGTGTTTTCTATTTCAGTACTGTGACATTGCCAATATGCTAAGATTTCCTGTGCTAGTATTCAAGCCAGATTTGCTTCAGTGCATGCAGATGTTTCCACACAAATGTGTGTAGACATGAGTAAATAGCTCTGCTTTGTAGTTAGAAGGGGACTCCTATAGAAATAGTGGGACCCAAACATTGCTAGGTCTCCCATAAGTATGGAGTACCTGTTAATGGGTTTCATATTGTTTTTTCAGCTTAATGAGTTGAAAGTCCAGAGAGATGAAGAAAAGGGGGACGAAGATAACAGTAGAAAGGCTGTGGGACTAACCATCATATCATCCAATTTTCATGCTTATAGACACTAAAGAAAGCTAATGTCAAATATACTTGTGTTTTGAGATGAGAGCTTTGAATAAATTCTTCAATATCGAATAGGGATAAACTGATACTATATGTAACTTTTCCTCCAGTACAACTAGGGTTTTCCTGTCCCTCTTGCCTGCCTGTTTTCACAGCTTATCAAGTTAATGCATCTTTGAGGTTTCAACCTGCTGTCAAATCTGCCTGAAACTGACCGAGAAGTTCAAAGCTAGTGGGATCACAGAAGGGGCTACTGATAAGTGTGCATGTGCAGATACGGAACATCTATAAGCCATTTTTTTTTCTTGGATAAGACAGCTAGAAATTTAGATTGAGGCTTTTTTTTAACCCATTGTTACTGCCACCTTTAGAGCTGAGCACACCACAGTTTTAGAGCACCTATCAAGCATCAGAAGTAAACAGAATCACAGAATGTTAGGGATTGGAAGGGACCTCAAAGGATTATTTAGTCCAATCCCCCAAAATTCTAATTCAAAACTAAAATTCTGATGTAGTTGTTTATAATATTATAACAGGCTGCAGCCAAAATAAACATCTTGTAATGCAGGAGATCTTAATATTCTTGAGGGTTGTGAATGTGGCACGTCCTGCTTTACACTGAAGAATCTGATACCCAGGAATGTGAGACTTATGCAAGTCTACTTAGAATGTGTTGTATTGGTATGGTCAAGCCTTTCATTTTGCAGTGAATTGAGATTCTGATTTTTGGTTTGGTGTTTTGTTTGTTTGTTTTTTTCCCACAGGACAGTTTGCAGAAAACGAAACAAATGAGGTGAATTTTAGAGAGATCCCATCCCATGTCCTATCCAAAGTATGCATGTATTTCACCTACAAGGTCCGCTATACTAACAGCTCTACGGAGATTCCTGAATTCCCAATTGCACCTGAAATTGCACTGGAACTTCTGATGGCTGCAAACTTCTTAGATTGTTAAATAAAATAAATTATAATAAAAAATGTAAAACTTTTTTCAGTATTTAATACATGTAGTTCAGTTAGTAACTTTTTTCAGATAGCATGTTGCGTGTGTGCTGTTGAGAACTGTAAAGTTCACTGCAGAGGCAATTGCCTTCAGTCCTTTTGCATATAGCAATCCTTGAGTTGAAGTTTGTTTTGCTGCTTACACAAATAAGGACTTTTCACAAACTGAGACAAATAAACAAATATGCCAATTAGTAGATGGCTATGCCTTATCCTTTAGGTGTGGTAGAACTTTCTTTTAATACAATGACCATAGAAAATACTGGAGTTTAGTGTAATGCTCTCTAAAAGGTAATTGTAGTTAAATATAAGTAGCCGTTTAGGGTTCCTAACTTTCTCTTATTGTTAAAGTTTCTAAACATCTGAACTTAATCTCCTTTGTAAGATAACTGTCCTTTAGCATAGTTATACTAACTAGATTAGAAGTGACCTCTCCAAGGTTTGTATACTGGCCGTGATACTCCATTTAGGTTGAAAGTGGAGTATGTAGGAGAATGCTTAAGGCTTTTAATTTAAATCATAGTATAGACATGCATAAAGGTGTACTTGATACCTTTTCCTTTTATAACCTGAGTTTTCCCCGTTAGTAATTACAAATATTCAAGTCACTTGTCTGTACAGTAAGACTGTGATCCTGCTGACAGTGGCTTTTAAGGGGAAAAATAAGTGTTAGAATCTGTGTATATTATCTTCTGTATAACACATAAGGTTATTCTTAATGTACTGTCACTTGACTGGATATGGATTTTATATGGTTTCAGTTATGGTTTATTTCCATTGTTGTGATTGGTTATGTAAAGTCTGTATTTAATCTTTAGACTAGTAGTCATTTAAAGTTTGTAACATAGCAACTGAAAAAAGGTAGCAATTATCCTATCTTTTACCTCTTCCTCGACCTCTCCCTTGTATCCACAGAAAAAGACCCTGAAATGTGGAGGTCTTTTATATTTGAAGGAAAGGGCATTAAGCAGATGTTTAAGGAGCTGTTTTATAAATTTCATAGGTATTTCCAATGTTTTTACAAGTATTTTAGGGGAAAAGGATTGGCAAGCCACTGACATAATACTAGAGTGGAACACATTGTCTCTTGGTAGTTCCTGCTGGTAGTTGCCTATACTAGCAGTTCTTTGTTCAAAACAAGTTTCCATAAGGGGAAAAAAAAATTAAACTCAAGGCAAGAAGTTGCTTTTTGTTCAGCTGCAGCCTGAAGAACCCTTCTGCCAAAATCATCTGTAAATGAGAATGAATCTAATGCATCATAAAAAATGATGCAAGAACAATGTATTTAGCGTTTCCATCAGCTGCCACTGCTTCAGCTTTGTTTTGATCAAGAAGTAGTTGTGGTCTTTCGTGGAAAAATCCCACCAACAGATGGTGGGACCTCTTTATTGATGTATTAACACATGGTGAATTCAGAGGGCTGAAACTCTCCTCTAAACCTGTTTGCCAATGGAAATACAACTTTGAAGAGACTTTTCTGGGCAAAAATTAGTAACTTACATAGACTATGCAGTCTGCCCATGGAGGAGTTTGGTTCTGACACGTGAAATGTTACTCTGGGCTTGAACAACGCTTGATAGACAAGCTGACGTTTGCCGATGTGTTGATAGATTAGCTGACGTTTATTCCCATCGCATACTTTGGCACAATTTATTGTGGTTAAATGGGGATGTTTATGACTAGATTGGTTTTGCACGACAAAGCTGAAGTGCATTGCAAGGCAATTGTCTGAAATCCTGTGTTTAAGCACTCTGGTCAGTGCTGTTAGTAACTCATTTTCAAGAGCACTGAAAAGATAAACACAAACCAGAGATACCCTGTTATGCTGCTTTTGTTAGAGCCACTAGGAATACCCTAAAAGGTCAAGGAATACCAACATGGATGTTTTAGTCCCAACGACATTTCACTCTTAGCAAGTCTTAAGTTCTTTAGACGTTTTTAATAGTCTTGAGTTTAATGACTTGACATTCAAAATTATTTAGTTCAAAATGGAAGTAGAAGGATGACACTTTCTAAATTTTTTTCCCTTCTTTTTTTTTTTCCCCTTTTTAAGCCTTCTAATACAATTTCCTGTTAAAATACATTGCATTTTATGATTCCATACGTCAGCAGTAAGGTAAAATAGCTGGTTTAGTTCTGAATAATAATTTTGTTGTTTTTTCTTCAGCTTAATGTATCATACAGTAGCTTTGAACACTCAGGAAATGCAGTAGTGTCCTGGAGCGCACTATTTGCAAAACCACCGGCTGTTAAGAAAACTAACCTGCAGATTTCTAAGGGGGAGGGGGGCAGAGGGAATTAGTGCAATTTCCGTGATAGTGACATGGGTATGCTATTATCAGACAATTGGAAACTTAACCACGCTTAACCCCTGAGTTCTAAATAAATTTCAAAATTGAAAATTTTTAAACCTGTGTTTCTGTTGATTTATGACTTCTCAAAACAAGTACTCATATGTAGAATCATAGTTTTCATGGTTATGTGGTGGGGAAATTGCTAGTATAATTAGTATTTGGGTAGTAGGTGGTGGAACTGCATGTATAAAATTAAAGGGCTTTTTCACAGTTCTGAAGAGTTTCATAGATTTAAAGTGTTTAGGTATCTTTGCTCCTCTGAATTACAAATATGTGCAACTCTTAAAAGCAACCAAGTACTAAAAAAGGATGGTATTCCTCAACAGCTTTGAAGAGGATATTTTGAAGACTTCAGGTGTCCCATAATGCTCCCTTTTACTTAGTAAGCTAGTCCTGCATCTGTTGGTTCAAATTTTAAACTGAACCACTGATTTAGCCATAAAAACTTGCAGATTCCTTACTAACTGTGAGCAATGAGAAAAGTCCTGCTAGGTAATGGGTTTTTATCACTTGAGTGTAAGCTGCTGAAGGAGTCTCTGATGGTCTCCAACATCCAGACCAGTAAGAACTCTGCTCCACAAGACGTGAAAGTCCTTTTTGGTTTTGAGGTTGAAGGAAGGAGGAGTCGCCGAGATTCACCACGCACGCCCTTATACTCAACAGGTGTGTTGAACACGATGTCTAAAAGGCATTTCTTAATTAACAGTAGTAAGAGTGGAAAATTAGTTGCTTCTGTCCGCGTTTTATCTCCGTGTATCGTATTTCACAGGTGTAAGTCGCAGCGGTGGCTATTTGTTTTTTTCACCCTTTCTTGCTTCTGCTGTTCCCATTGAAAGGCATTTCCCAGTACCAGCCTGAATCTGTTGGCATACGTGATAGATGAAGGGGATAAAGAAATTAATGGGACAGGAAAGTTAACTTTGTGTCCTTAGTTTTCTTTATTTTGTTAATTCTCAACTGTTGCCGTATAATTTAAGAGAGTAACAGCTACTGCAGAGTCACCAAAAGCACAGTGTTAGTGGGGAGGTACTAATGAGAAATAGCACGTTTTCCTCGCTGAAGACTAAGGGTGGAGGCTCTGGTGTAAACTTAATTTCAACAACTGAATGAGAGAAAAATAACAGGAGCTCATTTTTTAAGATTGAGTGGATTTGGAAATGAAACTATTTTGCTGGGTTTTAATAACAGATAGACCAAAGCTTTGCAATTAGCAAAAAAGGCATTTGGTAGTTTTTACCATGGAAAAAGTTCAACTTTGAAGGATCTTTGGACAATTAAACTGGATTGAAGTGAAGTTTATTTTTAAAAGTAGCTTATTAGGTGGCAGTTTTGTGGGAAGATACCAATGCTGTGAACTCGTGTTGCACAAAGGTTGGAAGAGTGAGAAAAGAGCACATAGTAAATTTTGTGATTATTATCAGCCACCTAGGAAGCTTGTTTGAGTGTCATCACTGGGGCAGCACACAGAAAAGAATGTGACGTTTTACAAGTTCAAGTTTTAACGAGTGTTCTGTGTCATGAAATAAAGCTTTCAGTAGGTTACATCTACAATGCAGGTTGTGGTGCAGCCTCTTTTATATGGGAGAAAGAGCACTGAGATTAAAAAAAAAAAAGAAAAGGAAATATTTCTCTCTGCCATGTTACTGTTTTATGTTTACAGAATACAGAATTTTCCTCCCACGCTATGTGGGAGGTGCAAGATCGTGACTGTTGTTAGACAAATTAGAGTTAGAGTACTTCCAACGTTTTATCCTATTGAACTTAGGTACCCGAGCAGTTTTCAAGATGTCAATCATGTAATGTTCTGTAGCCTCACTTGTTGAGGGTAGAATTGGAAAATTAAGTTAAAATTGCCCCTGAAATATGTACTGTGGTTTAGATTGGCGAAAGTAACAACTTGAGAGTTTTTAGATAAATTAAGATCTTACTGCACGATGCTAAAGTTTCTGGTTTTCAGAATAGTTTTGAGAGATGAGTTTTTTTGGAATACAGGCATGGATTAATGCTACTCCTTACTTATTTGTTGCCAGTTTCTTTTTGCAACCAGAAGTTACTTTGACCTTAAAAACAAATACTGTTAATTCCTTTAATGTTACTTCAAATTTTAAACTGCCTTCTCAGATGAGAATTCACAGCTGAGACTTTTATTCCCATGAAAAAATACTACTGGTATCCTACCTGCACTTAATAAGGGAAAACCCTTATCTCCAAAATCACCACTACACAAAACCGTGACATACGTAACTCATGTCTTCGGTTGCTATAAATTCTTGTTACTGTCTAGTAAAGCAATGAGGTACCAGTTATGCAGGTTAATTCACTCTTACATAACTAGTTCTCACTAGTTTTTTTGGTTGGTATCACCAGGCCTGAAAAACATGTAGAATCTAAATGCGTTTGGCACAAAGGATTTATCTTCTCTTCTTACACAGGGAAAAACTTCCTGCATTACCTTACTAAATTGACATATAAAACTTTCAAGAAGTGACACTCTTATTTGAGTCAGAATGATTTGTAGCAAACTGCTTCAAACATGTAAATGATATCTCAATATTGCACTAAGCTACTTTCAGATTTGTCATAAAGCACTTAAATATTGAAAAATATTTGGCTGATAGTACCAACTATGACTTAACAAGAGAACTGTCAGCAAATATTTAGCTGAAATAGGTAACTGCTCATCCGTTGTGTTTTCACAACATAGCTCAGTTTCATGGAAGGGACATTAAATCATAGAATCATAGAATGGTTAGGGCTGGAAGGGACCTTCAAAGGTCATCTAGTCCAACCCCCCTGCAAGGAACAGGGATATTTCCAACTAGATCAGGTTGCTCAGGGCCTCG